CACGTGTCAAACTTGAAGAAATGTTTGTCCGATGAGACCCTCATCGTCCCTCTATATGAAATTGAAATCAACGAGAGTCTCCATTTTATAGAGGAACCAATTGAGGTCATGGATAGGGAAATTAAAAGAACAAAGCAAAGTCGCATACCCATTGTGAAGGTCCGCTGGAATGCAAAACGAGGACCTTAATACACTTGGGAGCGCGAAGATCAAATAAAACAAAAGTATCCGCATCTCTTTCCATAATCCACAAATATTTATCTTACATTAAATTTCAGGATGAAATTCCCTCTAACGGGGGGATAATGTGACAACCCGATATTCCGAATCAATGTAATTACCTAAAAAGTCAAGAATTGTAACTCCTTTTAATATAATGAAATTATTGTCGAAAATAAAATGTTCAAAAGTCATCTACTGGATTTCATAGATGATAGTTATCATGTCAAGGTTTTCAGAAATATAAAGAACACTTAAATCTGAGTTATAACGAAGAAATTATGACCAACCTAAGATTCACAACAAAACTGTCAATACGATTAAACGTAAAATGCGAAGTTTTAATAAAATAATTTTTAACCTTAAGTATCTAAATGAAAATCGTAGATATCATTAAACCGTAAACATACATAAAAAGAACGCCTACATCTGACTTCGTATTGGGAAGTTATGATTTTTTGAAGTTTCGGATGCCGCAGTAGACAACTAAAAACTCGAAATAGAGATCGAGGGATTTTTCACCGAAACAATCTAAATGAGAATCGAAGACCTCAACAATGGTAGTACAACGGTAAAAAGTCTGTCTAAAACAGACACCGGATAAAGAAGTTACGGATTTTTAACGGACCTTTCGTGTCCCGGCTTGTTAAAAATAATATAATTAAAATAAAGTCAAAATTAGCCAAGGGAGTCTAAAGGAAAATTGTATAGTACATTCTCACCTACGTGTGGATATAAAGAACGCGAAAAACGGAGCTCGTACGCAAAAGTTATGCAATTTAGAAGTTGGAAAAATCCTTTTACACCCCGCGTACCAGAGGATATGAGCCTCGTCCCATCGGCCACATGCTCTCCCATCAAACATAAGCCCTCCTATCCGAAGTGCGTAAGCAATGACGTCCCACTATGCCCCGCGTAACCTCGTACGCCTAGCGTACCGAGGCGGTTCAGCCCCCCTATAAAAGGGATGCGAGGGTTCCGGGCAAAATTGCTCATTTTCTCTCCTTCTCTTGTGTTTTTACTCCGTTTTGCATGCAAGAAATATCCCGAAGCCCCGGTTTTCATACCCAAGTCCCAAAGGGAGTTTTACGTTCCCGAGATCCCTGAAAATCCCAAGAAATCCGCTTTCTCATGCCAAAGTTCTGTTCGGTTTTCATCTCACCATCTTCACTCTATCAGGTGAGTTCATACCCCTATAACTACATTTTCAAATGCTTTTATACACTTCTAGGGGGGGGGGGAATACAAGTAAATACATGATTATCCTCGTGTGAAAAACATCAATCTCTTGCTATACTTGTTGTTATAATCAATCATATGTGATTTATAACTACCATACGAAAACATTCTCATACACATATCATGATAAACACTTTGTATTTTTGGAATGAAACATGTTGTTATAAATATCAAAAACTTTATTTATATTTTGAGTATAAATGTTCAATAATGTTAAACTTACATACAAAGTTGACACTACTCAAGGGCTTACCATACAAACGAAACATACTTTTGGAAAAACTATAATATGTATAGTTTACTAGATATCATGAGATTTTACATATTATAAGTACTATATCAAGGGAATACTTTCATATACAAGAATAAATGGACATTTCATACGTAAATCTATTTGATACTAAGTTTTGTGAGACATTCAACTTCACGTACTTTCAAATATGCAGTTAAAGTACTATATTATATACCATAATCTCTTGTAGGGAGAGCGTGATATTTGTGTATAGATCTATACGAGATTGACAATCCCGCACCTAAATTGTTAGCTACAGTTAGAACGGCAAGTCTGGGGTGACAAACGTCATAACATTTCAACATTTGAAAAACGTTGTTACAAGCAGTCTAGGTCAATAGTATGGAAATAAAACTCACATGGAGTATTAAAAATGTGATGATTTACTAGGTTATCAAATGTCTTAGTAATTTTATACATACTTAAATCTGTTATTCTAGACATGAAAAACTACTAATGCATTACAGTTTTGGAACTTTTAAACTACCACACCCTCATGGAAAAATATTGGATTTTTCGGAAATAAATTCAGTGATTTTATACCAAACTTACAAATTTTATACATAAACGCTTATGAACTCACCAAGTTAATTGTTGACACTCTTTCAAAACTACTTGTATTTCTCAAGGATTCAGTAATACAGGTAAACCCCAACTTTTGAAGAAGGGACGCTAAAGCGTTAGTTTAAGACTCATTTTGTCATCATATTGTAATTTATTTTGAACAAGTATCATTCAACAATGTAACTTTTAAATTATATATATGATGGTTGTTTTACTTTCTTTACTATGTATTCAACTGTTACGATACTACATGAAGTCATTCTCCCTCGAACGATTCCGCCGTTCTGGTTTGGGGGTGTGACACAACATGAAAATGATTGTTACTCAAGTTGCTTGATTTTTTTTGGATTTCTTGTAGGTCGAAATTGGAGTTGACAAACAACAGAAATGGTCTAATTCATCTGGGTTCTTATGAATGTAAGTAAAATATATTTTGATTTTTATGTTATTAGGGTGTCAAATTTTGTGGTTTGAAAATTAATTGTGACAATTGTGTTATTTAGAAATTTGAATCATACCTTTCTATGAGATTCTCCATTTTTTTCATACTTTTGACGAATTTTTCAATAAGTTGAGCAATCAAATTATAAACGATAGACTCATACACAATGTATATCATATCCTTTGGTTTTGGTTGTTAAAATCACATTTTTTTTTTTGATGTGTTAGGATTTTGAGACCTTGATTTGGATACTTGGAAATTTTGTTTGGTCTATATGTCTACTACCTGTTCGATGAAATACTTAACGGGACAATATTAGGATAAACCTACGACCTGATTTAAATTACTTTAAAAATATATTGGTTTAAATTACTTAAAAAATAAACTTATGGATTTTTGTTGCCCTTCATGGTTTAAATTTGTATGTTTCTCCTTAAAGTTTCATGTTTCATCCATAATATTTCTTTGTTTATGTTTTAGTTATAATGTCTTCTTTGACCCTTGATCACCTTGGTTAGTTTCTCATACTAAGTTTTCTATGAAAATTATATTTAATTGCAACTTATTACACTATCTAACACCCAATAATCTCTAATATTTGTATAAGATGGTGACAATTTTTTTTACTGTAGCATCTCTTCATATTGATTATCGGATGTGGTTTGAGTTATGGAATGTTGCGACTGAGGGGACATTGTGGGGATGTGGTTTGAGTTATATATATATATATATATATATATATATATATATATGTGTGTGTGTGTGTGTGTGTGTATATATATATATATATAAGTTATATTATAATATAAGTTTTTAAGTAATACATAACGAGATTATCACCTTATAAAAATAAAAATGAGATAGCAACCAATTAATTGATTCTCTATTTCAATATTTCATTATGATCTTTAAACGATTAATTATGTTCTAAAGTTTTGTTATACGAAAATTTTGTCAAATATATAAAAGTAATCATGTTTTAAATTTTCAAATTATAAAAGTAATCATGTTGTTTTTCATATATGAAAATCATATTACTAAAAAGAGTACTAGCATCTACCTATTTTAAAATAAATTTCACATATTATTTTAGTTTTTAAACATATATTTTGACAAAATAACTATTATTTTTAGGATTAGTGTATACTTATATATGAATAGGAGATGATACAATATCAATATATTGCGTGTTCTTTAAAGTATAACATGTTCCTGCTAAGAACATATGAAAATTTGCATTCATATATAAGTCTCATTTTTTTAACCAACTTGCTAATATTTATTGCAACACACCCTCCCTCTAAACCTTAAGCCCCTAAATAGTCGTCTAAAACTGATCATCAAAAGAAACTATTTGGTACCGTTGCATCACTAATAGTCAAAATAAACTATCTAGAGATTTGGTCCAAGGTTTCCTCTATGTCCGCATGAAGATAACATGTTACCATTCAAGCTGATAAGAAAACATTTTCTAATCAGATTATGTTTTGCCATGGCAATCAATAAAGCTTACGGAGAAACAATTCCAAATATAGGTATTTATCTCCTAGAATCGGTTTCATGCATAGTCAACTTTATGTGGCATTGTCTAGAGGGATATCACGTAGCAATACAAAAGTATTAGTGAACTCCGACGAACATTTCAACGACAATGAAGTTTATACATCAAATATGGTCAACAAAGAGGATATCATTACTCTGTAGGTATTTATCTTTAAGAATTGTTTGGAGGCAAGACCATTTTATTTGGAGATGGCTTTAGATAAGTTCTTCTAGCAATACAACGAGGCAATTGTTCGGATACTGTGCATGCATCATATTAATCCAAAATTACCGCGTGATGTATGGTTTTACGTTTAACCGTAAACATGAGATTTATTTTGGTTGTCTAACTAATGATTTGGATGAGACAAAAGCATTTGATGAGTGTGTTTTTTAAAATTGGTGAAGGTAATACTGGCGACCCTAATAATGGTGAAGCTGAAATTGAATTTCCAGAAAACGTTGTTGTTCGCTCTATAGATGATCATATTCATTCAATTGTATCCACAATTTATCCATCCTTTGAAAACCATCTTGTTGATCAATCATATTTTCAAGATAAAGCTATTTTGGTCCCTACAAATGAATAATTTGATGCTACCAATGACTACATTTTAGGATTGATGAAAGATTAAGGGAAAACATATATGAGTTCAAATTCTTTACGTGATACAGAGTTACCAGGTTTTTTTTGAGGAATCGATGTGCTCTTCAGTTGTGTTGAATGGTTTTAAGGCATCTAGAACTTCCAGCTATAAGCTTACATTAAAAATAGATGTTCCAGTCATATTACTTTGTAATATCGACCAAACCAAAGGACTATGCAATGGTACTAGATTATAGATTGTTAGGCTTGGAAGAAACGTTATTGAAGCGTGAATCATATATGATAGATTCTTTATCGAGACTACTTATATACCTTGCATGAATTTAACTCTGTCTAATAAAAGAATCTCATTCCGTTTTCAGCAGAGGCAATTCCCCATAGTAGTTTATTTTGTTATAGCCATTAACAAAAATCAATGACAATAATTATCAAATGTTGGATTATATTTGCATAAGCTCGTCTTCACTTATTTTCAGTTATATATTTTTTGTTTCTCGCATCACAAGTAAAAAGGGATCGAAGGTACTCATATATTACAAGGAAGGTTGTCCAACTAATAAAATAAAAAATTATGTTTACAAAGAGATCATTCAACTATTATAGATATTCAAGTGTTTCATTGTTTTTTTTTCAAACATTTAAATATTAGCAATAATGCTAACTCTGTTTATGTTACTTTATTTTTTTTTTTATAGTACCAACTTTTTTATACCTTTACACATACATTTTTGTATGTTCCCTGCATTTTACACCATCATAATCTAGTTTTTCATTAAACCATACCCATTTAAAAAACCCGGTACTAGTGATACGAAAGAAATAAATTGGGCCAAATAGTGATCTCTATAATGTGATTCAATCTAATTTGTACGAGATCCGAGTTAAGCCCATTTTGTATCGTGCGGACTGTGGAGTGTGGACCCTTTCGTATAAATGCAAGCCGTCATAACTAAACCCTAAGATTTCGACCATTTTCCGTATCTAGGGTTTCAACGCAGCCTCCACCCTCCATTGCAGCTTGCATCTGCTTTGATTACACTCAATCAAATGGGTAACTTTCGCATTTCGATGATCCGATGAATCTTTCGATTTTGTTTGTATAATTTTGTCTGATTTGTTCCATATTGTTACGTGAAATACAGCTCGGATCAAAGTTCATGAGTTGAGGGGCAAAACCAAGGCTGACTTGTTTGCTCAATTGAAGGATCTCAAAGCCGAACTTGCTCTTCTCCGTGTCGCTAAGGTCACCGGTGGTGCGCCCAACAAGCTCTCCAAGATGTAAGCTATTTCATTTTCCTCTATATACATGATATTGTAGATTTCAAACATTACGAATTCGTTTGCAACAAGTTTATGCTTTAGTGAGATTTTTTATACATCAGTGAATCTAGCTTTATCAATCCACATTCATAATGTACGCCTCCAAAATTGTCAACTACTGCACACTAAGCTCTCGAAATATACATCTTGAGAAGTTCGCACACATCGAAACTATATTGAGATTCACAGTTTCACACCCATGTTCCTATTTGATTTAGCCATTCTGTATATAAGCTTTTTTAAATCGACAGATTCCAATTAGACAGAAATCGTAGTAAAACTCTATCTCTTTAGTCTTTACTTGTTTTGTTTTGTCGATTGCTGCATTACACCTTAATGGAAAATTAGGTTTCATGTTTTTAGTGTTTCTGGTAGTAGTTTATTTAAATATTATATTTTTTGTTTACAGAAAAGTTGTGAGGACATCGATTGCACAGGTGCTTACTGTTATCTCACAGACCCAAAAAGCCATGCTTAGGGAAGCTTACAAGAACAAGAAGTATCTTCCTCTTGACCTTCGTCCCAAGAAAACCAGAGCTATTCGCAGGCGTCTCACCAAACATCAGGTACAAAAAATTTTGTTGATGTAAAATAGCTGAATCCTTTTATTTAATTGAAATTGCTGAATGTAATGATGATTTGAAACATTTTGTTTGTGTAGGTATCTTTGAAGACAGAGAGGGAGAAGAAGAAAGAGAAGTACTTTCCATTGAGGAAGTATGCGATCAAGGCATAGATAGTGAAACCCTTTTTTTTCTTCAGTTTTGAATTTGGATTTGTGTACGTTTTTTTTTTAATTATTATCAGAGTTTTGATATTATTTGAAGGTTGTTAGCGTTCAATTAAATATTGGATTTTGCTTTGAAGTTGAGGCAGAGTTGTCTTGTTGATTTGATATTTGCATTGGTCTATAAATCGTTGCTGCTATATCCATATATATCAACCTGAATGATTCATTTAACTTCTTGGTTGTTTTTTGGCCTTTGGAATTGGTGCATGATTTCAACATTGGAATTGTGTGTTTTTATGTGTGGGTGTGTGTGTTTGTGGGGTTGGATTTGGGAGTGACTGTGGGTAGGTTGGGAATGTTGGGTAGGTAGATGTGGATGAGTGTTTTTATTTTAAAAAAATTGGAATTAGAAAAATATGGAAAACAATGTATTTTTAGAAAACGGAAATTTTTTATTTTCTATGAAAATTTTAGAAACATAGACGAACTAATTGTATTTTCAAAATTCGTAAGGGTGCGTTTAGTTACTGAAAAATGAGTCGTTTTTCGGAAAAAATTTCTAAGAAAAAATGAGAATTTCGAAAAACGTTTAGTTCGTCTATTTTTTTTAAATTTTTCACGAAAATTGAAAATTTTTCGTTTTCTAAAATTACAAAGAAGTTAGAAAACTTTGGAAAATTGATAATTTTTCCACGTTATTCTAATTCTAAAAGTTTTTTAAAATATAAACACACACCCACTCTACCTCTATCTACCCACACCCACACACACATACATACCCACCCCCACACACATCCACCCGCACACACACACACCAAACCACAAACACGCACACACACATACACACACACACACACCGACCCGCACATACCCACCCACCCACAAAAACACATATACATACCCACCAACACATACACATACATACCCACCCACACACCCACCAACCCACAAATCACACACGTACATACCCACCCACCCACACACACACCTACACCCCCCCCCCCCCCCCAACACACACACACCCACAAACACACACACATACACATACATACCCATCCATACACACCCACCCACAAACACATACACACATACCCACCCCCACACACACTCACCCGCACACACACACCAACCCACAAATACATACACACCAACCCACAAACACACATACACATACATACCCACCCATACACACACACACCAACCCACACATACATACCCACCTACCCACACCCACACAAACCCACCCCCACCCTCACAGACACACACACCCACCCACACACAAAACTACACCTACCCCCACAAACACACACTCGCACCCCCCACCCACCTAACACCACCACGAGAATCACCGATCTACCACCACCACACCACCACCACCACTAACCTGTCACTAGCACCACCACCACCGCTGCCGCCACCATCATCGCCTGTCATCATCACCACCGCCACCGACCCGCTACCGTCACCGCCCCCACCCACACCCTACCACCGCTACCGTTTTTTAAAAATGAAAACCGATAGAAAAATACACATCTAAACACGTTTCTTAATTTTCTAAACCTGAAAATGAAAAATGAATAAGTTTAACTAAACGCGTTTTCTAAATTTTTCAATGAAAAATGAAAACGAAAAACGAAAATCAAAAAGGAAAAACAAAAAACGGAAAATGAAAATTGTTTTTTCGTAACTAAACGCAACCTAATTATCTTGGAAATTTTTTTCGAAAAATGACTTATTTTTCTGCAACCAAATCCATCATTAGGTATCGATGAATTATTTTAAGTTGATTTGTGAGGGATTGTGGCAACATGGATTTTTTTTTTTATCGGGTGGTCTTCCTTTTAATTTATTACCCTGGCCTTTTAATTTATTTTCTTTCACGCCTTTCTTTTTTCACTTGGATTCAAGTAAAACTATAATTTGTTAATTTTTATTTTTGATGTTATTTTTTTTCCTATTTCTCTTTTCCTCACCAAAAGTCAGAGTGTGTATGGAAAACTTCCTTCACCCTTTGTTTTTTTAAATAAAAATAATTGATTTTGATGATTTATAATTTTTTTTAAATGCAATAAAGATAAAAATTAATTAAAAATAAAAACCAATTCATTAATTAAAAATTACATAATACATCAAACTAAGAAATATTAAAAGTAATAAAAAAAACTAGAAAAATAAATATTAAAAAACCACAACCTAGAAAAATAATTAATATCTAAATTTTTAAAAAACCAAAATACGTTATTCGGAATCTCCGTCGTCATCATCAACATCATCTTTATCGTCATTCTCATCAACATCATTCCCGTCATTGTCATCGAAATTCTCGCTCTCAACGAACATATTCGAATCATCATCTAATTCGTCAAACAAATCGTCGTGCTAATACTATATCGGTGATTAGATATGAGCCCTGTAAACGTGCTCCACCAAATCAGCACGAAGGGCGATGAATATCGTAATTGTGTACTTCTCTTCTATTTGCCTTATACTCTTGCGTACCAACTACTCCTTCGATATTTGGCAAAACTTTATTTTCGTTGTATCGATATATCGCTCTTCATTCGTTTTCAAGAATCATATTATGCAATATGATGTAAACATACATTATGTGTTCCAACATTCTAACTTCATATGATCGTGCCCTGGCTGCTAGTATTTGCCAACGCCACACATTGGGACATAATGACCAGACCCAATGCATGCAATCGATACTACCTAACATTCATGGGAACCTATGATTTCCTTCATGCATCATGTACAATTGATGGAGATCGTTGATAGTTGGTTTGCACAAATATCGTTGTCCGTAAACCAAAGTAATAGCTTTGTAGAACTTGTATACACACTCCCGTACCGTACGCTCGGATATCCTAAAATACTCGTGGCATTTGTCTGCGCACATGCCGTATGCTAATTGACGAATTGCAGTCGTGCATTTTTGAATTGGAGAGAAACCATTTTTGCCTCTCGCATCCATCTTTTATATGAAATATGGAAGACGACCTTCCAAATCGCCAACAATACGCAAGAATAGCTCCTTTCTCATGCAGAAATTTCGTCGAAACTTTTCAGCGTATACGGCGTCATCTGCAAAGTAGTCTTATATAAGACAATCGTGCTCGACTTCGTGATTTTTCAATATTGACGATTATCTTGTTTTAGGTCATGGACGTGAAGTTTGGCCTCATCAGTTTTGAAAGTATGCAATGGTCTTCGCCATTACGGAACCGATAAACACTGTCTCTTCTTGATTCGCGAATTAGATGACGAAGATGAAGACATTGTATATTAGTGATTTTTTGGAGAGAATATGGTGAACTGGTTTAAAAATAATGTTGGGTTTGGTTGGTATTCATAGGGGGACTATATATATTATATATATATATATATATATATATATATATATATATATATATATATATATATATATATATATATATATTCGTTGCCTTAAGAAAAAAAATCACCAACCAATAGGAAAAAGAGAGAAGGTGCGTCAACCCCTCACTCCACTTCCCGCACTCGCTTTCCCTCATCAGCGGTACGGTGTTCCGGTGAGCGGGACGAGCCCCACCCTCCCTCCCTGCATCTGCCCTGTCCAGATTTAGCCTTGTTTCTATTTTTAATTATTTTTTATGCTTTTTTTTTATTTTGTTAAACACATTGATTTGCTTTCTACTCAAAAAATTTGTTTCTCTTTGTAGCCAGACCTGATTTTAGTTGGTATGTGATTATAGATGACTTTCAAGCTAAGGAATGGGGTATATCTTACATGTTTTTTATTTTCCAACAATGGTGTCACACACTACCTGGATCCTCATCTCTTGAACTCGTTCTAGCAGCTAGTTTAATGGCACGGGCATCTCATCTAGTCTAGATCGAATCCCTAAGAGCTTCTTCTCTAGCAGGCGATTTGGCCCATTTTATCTTTCCTGGTAATAAGGAAAGGCCTTTCCCTATCACAACCGCCTTCCTTTATTCGGAATTCATTCGTCTCAAAAGAAAGAGCTAGCGAACTCGCTTTCGAGCTGTCTTCCATCCCGGCTAAGCAACCCCTCACACTTGTGAAATATGTTTTAAACACTCAAATGCTATTTTGTTGTGATTGGTTTATTAATCCTAAATTTGGTGGAGTTGTCCTTACACTAATCTTATTTTGTTGATTTAGATAATTACGTTGATGTTAGGATTAACAATTCAATGCTAAAATTAGGTTTTCGTTTGGTTCATCGTATTTCCTCATTTATGGTGTTCAATTTGTGTGATCTTCCCGATGAACCCGATGAATATACCTAATGTCTTTTATCTTCTTTTATTTTTTATTGCCCTCCTTTATATATTATATATATATATATATATATATTATATATATATATATATATATATATATATATATATATATATATATATATATAATTTGATATGACTTTGATGTGATTTAGGACTCAATAAAATTCTCAAATCAAACTTTTGATAAGTCATTTTTTTGCATCTCCTGCTCTGGTGATTCAAAGGTATTGTATCTTGGATCGAGTGTATAATGTAGTATGATACTCCATCACATGGGTGGTATTAAAATAATATAAATATCCAATTAAATTTAGTTCAAAATAGTTTAGAGTTCCAAAATGCCGAATTAAGGTGTCATGGTTCAAAATATAAGTAGATTGCTCAAAATATGAGGTAGCAACAATTAATCTCAAAATATTATGCAAAAGTAAAACCACTGCATAGTCGTAGTCTTTTAAATATATTGGCTTTCTAAATATGCCCGTTTTCATCACTCTCGCTTTACCAAGATCCTCAAATCTGAGCACATGCCAAAATTTAAGTATTAGGCATGGAAAACGTAGTGAGTATACCGAATGTTGACTCTTTAAGAGTTTTGGATAATTGCGAATATACAAAATCGATGTCGAACTTCCAAAAATAGTTTTCTAAACCATCAAATACAAACATAGTTAGGGAAAGAATCATTTTTCTGTCAAAATTCATTTAGTTATTCCACAAATCAAACACAAAAGATAAATAATGCATTACAAATACGTCTAAATCCCAACCCAAGTCAATCTTAATAATCAAAAATTTCTAATGATGGTTAACATAATCTAAGCCGAGGAATAGTGAGCATGTAACATAACCTTCAAGTTTTGCTTATCCTATAAACTAGGTACTATTGAGCATCACAGTAGAATAGCTAGTCATCACTCGTACCCACAAATGGAATATATCG